GATGTACCACAAGAATAATTCTTTATAGAATAACGTGTTCATAGCTTTTCAGGCACGTTTCAACCATAAACCAATAACTCACAAAATTCAAGGGATTATCATTGTTGTGAAAAATACAGGCGATATCACATGGTACAAAAGAAAAGATGTGGAAATTAACATACCGTAGCTAAGCTTGGTCCCTCTCATTATACCAACAGTCGTCGATGTTTGGTATTTAACTTTTAAAAGATGGAGACACATAACTACACCTTGGGAAAGGTTAGAAATCCTAACCCTAATTCTTCCTTTAAACATCATGTATAAACAAATAGGCCTTCCCCATTGTAGATGAGAGAGTACCGAATTCAAAATCTCTCTTCTAAAGAAAAATTAATTTAGAAAAACCTTTGTTTCCATTCAGATCATGTGACGAAGGTGAAACAAAAATATAAGTAGAGCGCGTTCACTTATATATTTTACAATAGCCCCCGTTTGGTGTGGCTTACAATTTTGATAAAAATTTAAGTTAAAATCAATAATTAAGTCCTTGTTTGAGCCTCATTTTTGGGCCAAAATGCATTTTACAATAGTGTTTTGTTGGAAAATGTGTAGCTAAAAAATAAGAATAAGTTTGAAATTTACGTATAAAATTATTTTATGGAATAATGAGTTTTGAAGAAATGATGGCCAAACATAAGCTAATTTTAATTACACATTTCGTTGAATTCACAACTTTTATCAACTACGCAACAAATTTCATCAATTTTATCAAAATTTACTAAAAATATAATTTTTAACAGGCAATAATTTCTAAAAATGGATTAAACGCAAACAAAATACGATCTATTCTAACATAGTAACACCCCCAATTCAATTTGAATTCTAACTGAGAAATCCAATATGTGCATATGCAGAGCTTAAGGCGGCCTTGGATTGAATGGCCAGATTGACGCGGCAAAGTTTCCTACTCTCCCACCAACCCTACTACCTAAATCCTCCCTGCATTTGTAAGAAATCACCGGCACGGGAACGAACCCGATCAGGCTCTTCCGAGATAGACCCTCACCGGAATCGGATACCGTCCGGCCTGGAATTTCATTGATGGTTCTTCTGTAGGAGCCAAACCACTTGAGCTGCAAGCAAGCAAGCCGCCGCCACGGCGACAGGTGGAGGCCATTTGTTTTCAATGACTTCCTCATGGCTCTGCACATTAATCTCACCACTTTCTTTAACTGATCCATTTTGCCAACATATATTGATGGAAAAACTTCAAGCAGCGAGGTGTAACTGCTTGTTGGACGTGCTATTGTGAATTCTCCAGCGAGGAAAACTTCGATTATGAAACGAGTTCCAGAAACATATGCATCAATGTATTCATAATCCCCAGATGGGCAGCCACCTGTTTTCTCCCACTTTGATTTGCAAAGACCTATTTAATTAGAATTCGAGAAATAAGGGCATGTTTGGTAGGAAGATTCAAAACAAAATTTAATCTTTTTTGAATTGAATAAAATGAAGACTCACCCGCGTCAAAACCTCTGTGCCGCAACCGAGCCATTAAACGGCGTTTAAAATCCGGCAATGAGCTATTACCGATCTCACGGCAGGCCTTTTCAACCTCTACATGAATGTTTCTTGTGATGATGTCCTCCTCATCAGATTCTATTAAACTTTCCAAATCATTTTTCAACAATTCAAAATCGGGGCAATTGTTTTCCTGTTCGGATTCAACCTCTCTCTCTTGATCATTTTCTTCAGTCTCTCCCTCTTCTCTCTCAAGAAATGAATTCACAAGATCAGACAAATCCGTCAAGCTTTCCGGCGAGTGTTCGCTGCCGCTGCTCTCACTCTCTTTATTTCTCGCCGCTTCTTCAAAAACAGCCGCCAGCCTTTGGAATTTCACAGGGGTTCCCATCGTTGTCTATGGTTTTTGATCTTTAAACTTTAAAGGCTGCTTTATCCCTTTTGAGAAGGAATAAGATTGAAGTGAAGACGACCCTGATGGCAGTTTATGCTTATATAGTTCTGTCGTAATTATGGTAATGAGATGTGTGTATAGAACATAATGGTGATGGTGAAGGGTCTGAAGACCACACACTTGTGATGGGCATATTCTCGTTTAGGATTAACCAATGAATGTGGCCAGAAAATAGCACCTAGTTCAAGAGTCAAGTGTGTTCCATATAGATAATATAAACTGGATTGGGACACTAGAGGGATCAATGGCTGGTAATAAACTGATAAAGAATACATCATAGATTTGTTTCATCTCCAATCATTGCCAAGAACTCCACCAAATCAACGGTATGAATTATTTCGAACTACAAACTCTATCAAACTATACAATTTTTTGGCACAATTGGACATTGAAGCCATGAATTAAAAAAAAATGTAGGTAGACCATGCAGCTGATGAATATTCATGCACGTGAAAATGAAAAATGGAACTACTAGGTTTCATCTTAGCAAGTCGGTATCCAATCTATAAAAATAAGCAAATTAATCTTAAGTTTTCGCTCTAGTTACATGGCAAGTTTCAACGCTGAAAATTGTTCAAATCTTTGCTAAATCATGATATGCCCTCGCATTTAATTTTATGAAATTAGAAATTGTGCGTGATTCATGGATCAAACGTAGATTTAGATGCTTTCAGTCATCAATGACTGATTTTATATATACTGTTCTGGATTATTATGAAAAATTAATAACTGACACGCTCCATTTTAAAGATTAGAGACTTGCTATGGATGGAATAATAAGTTGAGGGCTACTGTTGCGTTTTTTCATAAATATATATATTAGATAATTTTTCAAATTCATTTTCTTTGGGATGGTAGATGCGGAGACACGACTTTGTAAATTAACTGGTATGGCCAAGTTCATTGAACTTAGAATGAGTCTATATACATTGAATCTGTAGTTGAAAAATCATTTTTTTATCATAAAATTATTGGATACATTTGTGGGAAAAAAATTGTTCTCTAGTCGTATGTGACCTTATTTACGGATAGATGCACTTGAATTACATAGCTTATCCTCTACTGAATAACATTATGGTTAATTTGATCTCTTAACTACCTACAAATGAAATTAAAAAAAATTAAAAAATCACAGTTCTGTTGTTGCATTCATGGCTAATTTCAGGCGTCCATGTACAATTGATTGGCTTGTGTGTGTGTGTGTGTGNGGGGGGGGGGGGGGGGGGGGGGGGGGGGGGGGGGGGGACTCCTACGAGTAGAAATTCAGAACAATTTTAGTTTGGTACTATTAATATTACACTAGTGGTCTACCAACTTGATGAGGTTTGTTTAGAAGACTCGAACAAGTGATTTAGGCCAATTCTATTACAACTATAGGAGATGACAACTTAGACATTTGACATCGGTTTAATTCTTAAACACGTAGAACGAAGAAAAAGAGTTCGGAAAAGGATGCCTAACTTGACATACAGGTGATATGATGTGGCGTAGAGAGTAGTAGGTTACAAACTTGAGGGATGGCAACGCTTCAATTGCGAAAACATGACATCTCTTCGACTATAAATTGAAACCTATTTAGTTAAAGTATGAGAAATTAAAAAAATTGAACTCAGAAGATTTTCATCTCTCACGATAAGATCCCTCACAATGTAATCTAACGTGTGCACTATAATACAACAGACTGTCTATCAAAGTCGTATTAAATTTCCTGGATTGATGGTGAAGTCTTCAGTTTTTCTTTTTCCCTTTTTTAATATTACGACTTCATCTACGGGATTATACTCATTCCCCTTAGAAGAATTCCTCCTCAGATATGCAGTATTATGGGTTGTTGAATCATGATATTTATCATTAAGCAAAGCAATTCTTGCGAGTAAGAATAAACTGGGGTAATTACATTTGAGTACCCTATCAAATATTGATGTCATATCTAGAACAAGAACTCTACAGAAGAAGCTGGTACGTACAAATATCAAGAAAAGCAAGAGGTACAATACCTCTTTATGACTTTAGTCTAGATTCGAATTTTGTAACTAGATCATGTGTGGTCACTGGTGTCTTCTGCAATAAAACAGCCGTGATTTTATTTTCTGTGACAGGTCCACTAGGAGGTGTTGACCCAGTTTTTGAAGTTGCCAATCATGATGCACCCTTAGGAGGTAAATAAGAGAGAGAAAATTGAAAAAAGAATGGATGATGCTACACGTATATAACGGTGCATATCCCCTCACATGGAGGGGGACCCACTTCGAATGTATTATATTTTATTTGAAGTGGGCCCCCTCCATGTGAGGGGGACACCGCATTATGTACAAGTTGTTGGAAAATTTACACCAATTTCCTTTTTCTACTTATCTAGCATGATCTTTTGTTATTCAGAAGAATATTAGCAAACAAGAAAAATAAATAATAAAACGCACAAATTTAAACAGACCATCAAAGCTTTTTCACTATATGAAAAATTGTTACAATCATATAGACTTTTTCACTCACCAACCCAACATCAAAGTATTACAAAGAAAAATGTACTCTATCTTCTCACACCCCTGGCTGCCTCTGTATACGTGAAAAAGAATCTTCTTTCACAGATACATTGCAGCCACCTGTATATATTTTCAGAAGCTGTCCGTCGTTCCTATTTTCTTTGTCTCAGGCCACGCACAGAAATAATGGAATACTTCCATTATTTATAGGACCAAATAACCAAGAGAAGAGTTTAATTCAAACTCAAATAATGACTCCAAAATCGACTATAAATTGGAGATCAAATTCTAACAGGATTCTGCACTCAACTTCAATAAGAAGTCTTCTATATAACAAACAAATTTTATTATTTGCAATAGGAGTCCTCCAACTTTTGAGGCAATTATCCAACACAAGTAGCATATTTCAAAAAGAATATACGGAGATAATTTAATCAAGGGGGGCTTACAGGCCCCTCATAGCGGACCCCCACCACGTGTGTTGCCTGTAAGATGCCCGTGAGATTTTCTCCTGTACTTCAAGCAAGGTTCTTTAATCAATGGTAACTAAACTTTGTTAGCCATACCTTGTCAAAGTATTTGCCATAGTTTCTCAGCATCAAAGAGGCCTGGTCTTAGAAATTAGCTGAAACTGTGATTCTCAGCTTCGTTTTCCTAGGTAAAATCTTCACCTAATGAGAGTGGTACTAGGGTTCCTAAATTTTCCCTCCCACTACGAACTCTAGCTTGATCAAGTTGGATTCGTGATTATCTTTTGACAAAATTGGAATGGAGGCTTCTAACCTTTTCAAAATGTTCAAATGAGAACTGGGTCGACGAATTTACCCTTTGGTAAAAAAGCACGTGCTTCATTTGACTTTACCTAACGACTGAAATGGATGCAAACTGTGAAGTAGGATTGAGTCTTCTAATTTCTTTAAGGTTGAGGACAAAAATGCGACAAAAATTGATCAAGGATACGATCATAACTTTCATGAAAGGATAGGGACTAAATACGTAATTTACCCTCGCTAAAATGGATTCAGGGCAATCATTGGTCCTACTTAAACAACTTGATTTTCCTGTAACAAAGATAGACATAACGAAATAATATTAAATCCTCCCTATCTCACCGTTTAATTTGCTGATAAAGAATATTTGGTCCGGGAAGATTTATATTTTTGTCAAAATTGCCAACGATCAGTACATCTGTTTTGGTAACGAAGGCCATAAGCTTGAATCCTATCGAGTGCCATGCGTAGAGTGAGATCACTGAGGTATAGTCCATGCTAGTCTATGTTTCAAGTAAGAATAGGCCTCGAGTCTCCATTTCAATTTAAAATATGAATACCTAATAAAATAAATCTCAAGAATTTGAACTCTGTCCCAAAGATTAAAGAGCTGATTGTTCTTTACATTGCAGCCTCAGACAAAATAAGCAATACACAAAGGACTGGATCGAGAAGGCTGCAATCCAGATTAGTAAGAATTGATTATCACATATGAATTCACTTGTTCTAAAGATGTCTGAACCCAAGGTAAGACGATTACAATGACGAAGAAAAAGATTAAAATAAGAGGGTCATGCAAACAAATATATTACAGCTTAACTAACAAAAGAAACCCATTTGTTTTTACTCAGAACATCAAAAGCAAAACAACCCCAATGCAGTTACCAAATTAAAATTCAAAACAGTCCAACACTTAGATCTTGAACCATTTGATAGAAGGATTCCTCAAAATTTTCGACTTTTCAACATCAGACGACAGAAACATACATAAAGATAAATTAGGACAACAAATTGACCAAGAGTAACCATATATTGCAGTAATCATCTTCCAAGTTCTAAAGATCAATCTTGAAAAGTACATCAGATTATCAAACTTGTAGGTGGCTTTGTATAATACGATGCATCAACCTGTAATACAGCGTCCTTCATGTCCACATTGTTGGACGAATTGAATCTTATTCAGATCGAGTATGAAAAGCAGCTTTATAGATTTACATTCTGGTTCTGTGCTGTCGATTTAGTATCAGACTTCAATAGATTCCTGCACCACGGGGTTTGTCTGTGCTTGAGCTTCAACAACAGTTTCGCCATCTTTGACAGGTTCGTTCTTGATTGGTTCGACTTCTGCCTCGTGTTTTTGTGTATTAGATTCATCTTTGCTCATTTCCCGGGATAAGTTGCTCAGCTGAGACTTTAATTCACTTGTTTCCTTGGATACAATTGTCTTATGAGATAAAACATGTCTCTTTTCATTAGATAAGGTAGTTTTCTCAGACGGCAACTGAGGAAGAGATTTTCGTGAAGAATTCTTGACATGGGCCAGAGGTCCTTTGGTAAGGTTATTTTGTGACACTTTCTCATCCAAGCTTAGCCTACCTAGGATAGCATTGGAACCACCATTTTCTTCAGAATTGGCAGTTGGTGAACTCTTTTTCCGACCAAGCTTCGGAGATTTAGGCCTTGTTGTAGGTATCTACATCAAAGTAGGATATTGATACAAGGTTTAAATCAAAAGGTAAAACATTTAACTACTGCTTGAAACCAACTTCACAGGTAATTTCATGTTATAATGAAGGAGTGAGGAAGAGGCAGAGAGAGAAAATTAACATACCTTTTCCTAGTGTTAATGTACAATTTTGATTCTATACATTATCATATAACACTTTCTATAACATTCTCTTTCTGATAGCAACAAANTAATGACTCCAAAATCGACTATAAATAGGAGATCAAATTCTAACAGGATTCTGCACTCAACTTCAATAAGAAGTCTTCTATATAACAAACAAATTTTATTATTTGCAATAGGAGTCCTCCAACTTTTGAGGCAATTATCCAACACAAGTAGCATATTTCAAAAAGAATATACGGAGATAATTTAATCAAGGGGGGCTTACAGGCCCCTCATAGCGGACCCCCACCACGTGTGTTGCCTGTAAGATGCCCGTGAGATTTTCTCCTGTACTTCAAGCAAGGTTCTTTAATCAATGGTAACTAAACTTTGTTAGCCATACCTTGTCAAAGTATTTGCCATAGTTTCTCAGCATCAAAGAGGCCTGGTCTTAGAAATTAGCTGAAACTGTGATTCTCAGCTTCGTTTTCCTAGGTAAAATCTTCACCTAATGAGAGTGGTACTAGGGTTCCTAAATTTTCCCTCCCACTACGAACTCTAGCTTGATCAAGTTGGATTCGTGATTATCTTTTGACAAAATTGGAATGGAGGCTTCTAACCTTTTCAAAATGTTCAAATGAGAACTGGGTCGACGAATTTACCCTTTGGTAAAAAAGCACGTGCTTCATTTGACTTTACCTAACTACTGAAATGGATGCAAACTGTGAAGTAGGATTGAGTCTTCTAATTTCTTTAAGGTTGAGGACAAAAATGCGACAAAAATTGATCAAGGATACGATCATAACTTTCATGAAAGGATAGGGACTAAATACGTAATTTACCCTCGCTAAAATGGATTCAGGGCAATCATTGGTCCTACTTAAACAACTTGATTTTCCTGTAACAAAGATAGACATAACGAAATAATATTAAATCCTCCCTATCTCACCGTTTAATTTGCTGATAAAGAATATTTGGTCCGGGAAGATTTATATTTTTGTCAAAATTGCCAACGATCAGTACATCTGTTTTGGTAACGAAGGCCATAAGCTTGAATCCTATCGAGTGCCATGCGTAGAGTGAGATCACTGAGGTATAGTCCATGCTAGTCTATGTTTCAAGTAAGAATAGGCCTCGAGTCTCCATTTCAATTTAAAATATGAATACCTAATAAAATAAATCTCAAGAATTTGAACTCTGTCCCAAAGATTAAAGAGCTGATTGTTCTTTACATTGCAGCCTCAGACAAAATAAGCAATACACAAAGGACTGGATCGAGAAGGCTGCAATCCAGATTAGTAAGAATTGATTATCACATATGAATTCACTTGTTCTAAAGATGTCTGAACCCAAGGTAAGACGATTACAATGACGAAGAAAAAGATTAAAATAAGAGGGTCATGCAAACAAATATATTACAGCTTAACTAACAAAAGAAACCCATTTGTTTTTACTCAGAACATCAAAAGCAAAACAACCCCAATGCAGTTACCAAATTAAAATTCAAAACAGTCCAACACTTAGATCTTGAACCATTTGATAGAAGGATTCCTCAAAATTTTCGACTTTTCAACATCAGACGACAGAAACATACATAAAGATAAATTAGGACAACAAATTGACCAAGAGTAACCATATATTGCAGTAATCATCTTCCAAGTTCTAAAGATCAATCTTGAAAAGTACATCAGATTATCAAACTTGTAGGTGGCTTTGTATAATACGATGCATCAACCTGTAATACAGCGTCCTTCATGTCCACATTGTTGGACGAATTGAATCTTATTCAGATCGAGTATGAAAAGCAGCTTTATAGATTTACATTCTGGTTCTGTGCTGTCGATTTAGTATCAGACTTCAATAGATTCCTGCACCACGGGGTTTGTCTGTGCTTGAGCTTCAACAACAGTTTCGCCATCTTTGACAGGTTCGTTCTTGATTGGTTCGACTTCTGCCTCGTGTTTTTGTGTATTAGATTCATCTTTGCTCATTTCCCGGGATAAGTTGCTCAGCTGAGACTTTAATTCACTTGTTTCCTTGGATACAATTGTCTTATGAGATAAAACATGTCTCTTTTCATTAGATAAGGTAGTTTTCTCAGACGGCAACTGAGGAAGAGATTTTCGTGAAGAATTCTTGACATGGGCCAGAGGTCCTTTGGTAAGGTTATTTTGTGACACTTTCTCATCCAAGCTTAGCCTACCTAGGATAGCATTGGAACCACCATTTTCTTCAGAATTGGCAGTTGGTGAACTCTTTTTCCGACCAAGCTTCGGAGATTTAGGCCTTGTTGTAGGTATCTACATCAAAGTAGGATATTGATACAAGGTTTAAATCAAAAGGTAAAACATTTAACTACTGCTTGAAACCAACTTCACAGGTAATTTCATGTTATAATGAAGGAGTGAGGAAGAGGCAGAGAGAGAAAATTAACATACCTTTTCCTAGTGTTAATGTACAATTTTGATTCTATACATTATCATATAACACTTTCTATAACATTCTCTTTCTGATAGCAACAAATATTTCACCATGAATTTTCATATAATAATTAGCTTAACTACCACGGCACGCCTTCCTCACTGGCCCAGTTGTTAGTGCATACTAATGCCATTTTGGTATCGTAAATTTGCTAGGGAGGATTGTACAGCATTGGACAATATTAAAGAAGTATAAGAAGTGTCTAGCCTTTGTCAATACTATGCACCAACCATGCATTTGATGTTTTATTGAAATTTCAAATTACTGTCTTTGCACCACAAAATATCAAAACCGACAGCCTCCAAATGCCACCATCACAGTAGCTCCAGTTCCATTTGGCATAATCACTCATGATCACAACCAAAGGTATATGCCACCATCAGTACTGAACAATCATAAAATGACCACCTGTGCCAACATTGGAATCAGGAATGCCTGGGCCAACACTAACAGAACCCCACACAAATTTCACAAAACTGTCATTCCTTGCACATATCGCATAAAGCCACTACTATTCCAACATCAACGTTGGGAACAAAATAGTTCTACTCAAATTTGGACTCAAGGCCACACAATTTAGAAGAATATTAGATCTGTGTGTAGATGACAGGGGTCTCGCTATAAAGCCACCGCTATTCCAACATCAACATAGGGAACAAAATAGTTCTACTCAAATTTGGACTCAAGGCCACACAATTTAGGAGAATATTAGATCTGTGTGAGATGACAGGGGTCTCGCTATATGAAATTTAGTGCAAGTCTCATTCCCAGTGCGAGGAGACCTGAGACCAAGGACCTAGAAATGACAGGATAGTTAAAAACAGGGAACACTTTTTCTTTAGTCTATTTTGAAAACAGCACAAGGTTTTTTAAAAAGTTTCAATAACAAGTCAGATCTTTTTGATTCCATCCTTTATATCCAAATGCAATTGTACTGAGTTCTAGCATCAACAACATTTTATCAGTATATATCATAAATCAAGTTCAAAAGTAAAGAGACCATAATAGAGAGACCGGGGAGGGGGGCTGCTAAAAAGTATGTTTAGTATTTACCATACAACTTATTCTAGTTTAGTAATTATATTTCCACACAGTATTCCATAGATAAAAGATTGTGCTTTTAAAATTTTTGTCAATCAAAATGGTACCTTCTTTAGTTCCACCTTCGGTGGTGGAGGTTCCTGATAGAAGCTAGGCATTGGTGTGGCTTTGAATGTTAGACTTTTCCTTAACCTTCTAATCTCAGCATCCCGTGTTTCCTATTTATAAGCAAAATAAGAGAAGATCAAGAAACTCATTTGCACAATCATATCCACCATTTTAAATACGAAATCAGCGCCAAAATCTCACCTTAGTCTTGGCTTGCATATTGTTCTCCTCTTCTTCCTTTGCATGGATCTTTTCCTCAAGTTTCGAATAGAACTACTCGAAAATAAAGGAAAATCTCAGGACCGAATCATGCGGGAAAGACACAATAGTCAGTACTTCTGATGTTAAAGGCTAACCTCTCTTCTCTTTTCAGCCCTTTCGTTACATCTAAAACTGAAACTATAGCTCGGAAGAGTACCAAATCTGTGGGGCTTGCCTTCTCCAGCAGTAGGACTTCTATCAAGTACTTAAGGATAAACATTAAACAATGTTTCATCATAAAAGTAGCCATGTGTGTGTGCACGTGAAACCCTTTATATAAAAGGAGATAATATGCATAATTATATAATAAAAAAGGATACAACGAAGACTTTGAATTTTCTTCAGCTTTATTTGTGGAGCCTTTTCTGAGTGACTTCAGTTTAGGCTTGTCCCTGCAGCCAGGAAATTACGGTTCACAGACATCTGAGGAAAGAAGTTATTATGATAAAGAAAATGCTAGATAAATAGAAGAACGCGATTCCGGAAATGTCATCAGAAGGTTCCACCAGAGATATTCCTGCATTCTATTACACAGAAATATAGGTACAAAAGCTAGATCAAACATAGAGCTCTATCAGAATCAAACAAAACTTAACCATTTGTGAAATATAACATACAGAGTTCCTTCAAGCTGTGTGCCACTTGTGGAAGACAGTTTTGCATCAGAATGTCCAGTCTGCTGCGAGCAAATATTTACAATAGCCAATTTGAATAAAGATTATAGTAAACATTAATATACAATTAAACATCTATGTAAGATGGAAATATACAAATAAAATATTTATGTAAGATGGAAACAGGCACTTTTTACCTTAGAATTATAAGCATTATCTCTAGCAGGTTCCGGTTTTGTGCTTTGGTCAGCAGCTTGCCTCTCATTTGATCTGTTTTTTGTTCTAAGAGAAGTCTGTTTAGACTGTGATTCTGATGCACGGGTGCCATTTGAAGCAACAGAACATTGTGACCCATCTTTTCCATCCTTATTCTTGTTTGTCCCTGTCAATGCAGAATGTTTCTGACTTAAAGGCTTCCCATTCTTAGCCTTGTTCATGCCCTTCAGTGGTCTGGAATTCTTAGACTCTCCCAATTCTTCGGCACCATGTTCCTAAAAGTAAATACTTGTTACATACAGTGGCTTGGAACCAATCAGTAAAAAATATTTCACCAAGCAAAAGATTCAAAATCTCCTACCTTGGGGATTGTTACATCATTGCCATATGGTGGCAATGTAGTTTCATCTGTGCTATCTTGTACAGAACTAAGGGTTTCATCATCACTTGGTTTCACAAGATTTTCAGGATTCTCACTTGACCCACCATGTTCAAGACCGTCATTGAGAATTTCATTTACTTTTTCAGAAGTCACTTCTTCTCCAGAGGTAGGGAGTTTCTGGTGAACACTGATCTCCACCCCGTTTGCAGAATCAGATATAGTATTATTGGCATCCATTTCGCTCTAGCACCTAAAAAATTTGTAAACACCCGCGTGTCACGAGCCTTAGAGAATAACAGAATGTACCTCAACTAAAATGAATCTTTTATATGT